TATTGTGGCACCCGAGTTTTCTTACTGTACAAGCTTGGAATTTAAATTAATGATGAATGCAACACGTTTCGGTGTCTTAAACCTGTCAATGCATTTTTGAAAATGAAGAAAACTAGGACATCTCAAATATATTAACTCATCCACATGTCTCCTGAGGACCTGGACAGATGAATTAACTGATATTGTCGACTTCATACTAACAGAATGTGTTTTCCGAACAATTCGCTTTTAAACGTTACTTCATCTTGCGTGTAATATGCTATAGTTGAGAGCTTATCAGAACAGTACACTTTTAAATTTATAATTCGGTTTAAAGTTCCTACTTTGTCTTGTACACATTTCACTGCCTACATCCAACGGATTATAAGCCTTTACACATACTCTGAAGAGAGTATAAATTATTTATATTTCTATAAATCCAAAATTACATGAATTATAATATTCCTTAAGCCATCACGGCAGGTTACGTCTCCCAACGGTCGAATCAGTACAGTGACAAACAAAATTAATATTATAATTATGTAATTCCGTTTTCTAATAAGCTGCGTTATCCATTTCCTGTTTATATTAATTCTTTTGCCGATTTCTCTTTCCTGAGGTTTCACCCTTTTCATAAATTACTATTCATTCATTCATCAGTAATCTGTCAAGACGACAGGTCCACAGTCTCTTCCAAAACAGTTCCTCCACTTAATGCGATCTAGAGCTTTCTCCTTCGAATGAGAATATCCTCTTCTGTCCCCAAGGTCATCCAGCATCATCTTACGCCTTCTTCCTCGTCTTCTGGTCACTTCTATCCGTCCCTCTATCTTTCCTTCAATAACTTCTTTTAGAAGGCAGTTACTGCGTAAGATAAGTTGCCATGTCCGTAAGTAATTTAAGTATCCGTATTTTCAGTTCCCATATTACTAATTAAGTTCTTTTACATTTTTATTAATTTTAAAACCCCATTTGGCGCCACGATTCCTTCATTTCGAGTAAAAAGAAAAAGAAAGAGTTGAATCTAAGCTGCGAGTTATCATTTACCATTGAAGTGGTCTTCTCTCTAAACCTGGTTCATTACAACATCAACTGGAAAGGAAGAGAAATATCAGAGTTTGTAAAATTTTCACAAATCAGAAGCGACGTTTAAAAACGAATTTACTTAATTGAAGAGGAAATATTTTAGACTTTTATAGGTCAACTGAAATACATAAAAATAAATAATACAATAAATGCTGATAAAATATAGCCATCTATTGCTGATAATTATTGTTGTTATCATTATTGCAGTCATAATTTTAAGGATAACAGAAAGAGTGATTATGAATTGTAAGATAACTCGTGAAAGTGGAATAAACTGCCTAGTTTTGATACCTGCTGACACGAGTCAATAGGCAATCGTGTAATGTCTCACAGCCAATTTCTGATAGCATCTGTATCCATAAACACGAACCCTCTACAGATCAGCAGACAGCATTGTAGCCCACAGCGAGAACTCGACGCATACACTGAATAAGAACGCAAAGAATATGTCAATACGCATTCTATATTCTACACACACGGCATGCAAAGTGGGTGAAACCCGAAGTGAAAACATAATAATGCTTGTAAATCAGAGTTTGTCTACTCTCTCGATGACGACTTAATAACAGCTACTCAAAAGAAATAAAATGAATGCTGCAGAAGCTAATTTCACCAGTGCAAAATATGGGTTGGCTGCTTCGACCTGGTATAGGTGTTCTCATAGTGATTAGCCCTGTACTTACAGTCATATATTAAGTCCACTGGTAATAGTATTGCCTGTCACTTTGTTTCGGAAATATTTATATGTAGCAGGTGTAATAATTTGTTTCTTGACTTAGGCTCCAGCTATACTCTGCGATCAGTAATCTCTATTCACCCTGCAGAATACAATTATCCGAGCAAAGTAGATCAAATTGCTGTTCCGTGCATACGCGTCAGAGAGCCCAGTGGTGGCAATTTCGTATCTTATAATTACTTTCTGTTCGTTATACTCATAAGAAAAGCAGAACAGACCCAATCTTCTAGGGCGATATACAAAGAGAAACGTTATTCTTCGAATGGCTGTGATGTGGCTGAATTGCTTATAGGTTGATCTCGAACTCTGTTCATACTTCCAGCTCTTCAATTTGTAGAAAATTAATCATATGTTTTAATATTTGTATTTGCCTCTAAACCCTGCAGTTCTCTTCTTGCTCTTCGCTCTGTAAGTAATTTTATATTTAACTGTCTTTAATTAATTTGCTGTCTCCCGAGATAAGGAGCTGAGTAGCTCGTATATGAGCAGACGTTTCGGAGGAACTACGGTTAATGTACGAACTACAAGGCGCTTTATCCCAGAAGATGTCAATTTTCATAACTACCGCTGTGAGAACCTCAGATCTACATAATGTCTTTACTTGTTCCCTTCTGACGTCATCCTCATTTCTTATGTACTCGTATTTGATTTTTACTCTCTCTTATATGTAGTATGAGAAAGTGTAGTGAATATGTAAAATTCGATCTCAAAGTGATACTCAATCTGCTTGTAAGATTTGAGGTTTTCAGGGCGGTGACTATGAAGAATTCCGTCTTCTGGGATGTGGCGTCATGTAGATCTCATGTGAACCGACGTTTCGGGGGAGCGTATCGCTTCCATCTTTAGGGTAGAAAAATTCGTGANTGTCTTTAATTAATTTGCTGTCTCCCGAGATAAGGAGCTGAGTAGCTCGTATATGAGCAGACGTTTCGGAGGAACTACGGTTAATGTACGAACTACAAGGCGCTTTATCCCAGAAGACGGCATTTTTCCTCAATCTACATATTCTGATCTTCCTGAATATGAAGAGGTTTCGGAATGACGCCTGTGCCTGTGTGTATGTATGTATGTATGTATGTATGTATGTCTTTGTGTGTATAAATGTGTATGAATTTAAACCGTGTAGAAAGCAGTCTTCTGGAATTTGGCACCGTGTATATGTGGTGTTAACCGACGTTTCGGAGGAACGTATCGCCTCCATCTTCAGGGTAGAAGATGGGTAGAAGGGTCTCTTCGCTTGCATATTTCTTATATTTTTCTTCTACCCTGAAGATGGAGGCGATACGTTCCTCCGAAACGTCGGTTAACACCACATATACACGGTACCAAATCCCAGAAGACTGCTTTCTTCATAGTCACCGCCGTGAAAGCCTCAAATCTTACATAATTTAAACCGTGCTAGCACCTTAACAGGTGGATGAATTTTATCCACATTCTTATTCGGGAGTTACTGTTCGTAGTTCGGTACCCGGTGGATATGAACATTCCAGATACAGAAACAGGTTTTGTCTCTTCAAATGAGCCCCAAAACACATAATGATGATTTTCGCTAATGGCCCTAGGGATCCTGAATAGCTTTTATACATTTATGGAGACCATCGTCGTAAATAAAACTACATTGGAGGCTTTAGTGGAAATTAAGGTATGCCATCTAACCGCCGAATATGAAATGTTAATTTCCTCGAAAATAATTTGACAGATATTAATTAAATATTAATAACCTACAGAGCCAATAGACCAAAATAACTGTGTTACTAGGCTAATGTATCCTAAACGTAATTGATTATTTTAGGAATATGGGGTTATGTTCCGTCAAACGTATATAAGGTAGCCGAGGGGTCTAAGGCATGAACTGTCTTCGCTTGCACGGAAGCTGGGATCATGGGTTCGAATCCCAATCAGGGCATGGATGTTCAGTGTTTGTGTGAGTATGTGTGTGTTTGTGTGCATTTTTCTGTGTACAGGTAGAGACTTTGCGATGAGCTGATCACCCGCCCAAGGAGTCCTACCGAATGTCTATGATCTAATAAACTGAAGTGAAACGGAGAATTTCTTGGAGGTAGGCCAAGGCCCAAATTGGGGCTGTAGCGCCAAAGGAAAAAAAAAAATATGAGGTAGTATGCGCAAAACCTTTGGATCGATATGATTTTAATGTAGCTACTGGGGCGTGTCTTATGCTTTTCCTCGAAACTCAGTACCACTTAGTATGAAAATGTTTATAATGATTTCTTTCTCATATTTTTGCATATTTAAATTTTAGACAAATATTTTTAAACATGGAGGCTCACATTAATCTAAGTAAAATTTCTGACTGAAAGGAAATACAGGAGTGATTTAGAATCCGAATTTCCGAAGCCTGACTTCCTCTGTTTCACATCCCAGTTGGTAAACCTCTACAGCGACGATGCCAAGGCAGTGAAAGTGTTTCTATCTGTAAATTAATACTGAGCCTGAATGTGTGTATACCTGCCCTGAGAGTTACTGAAATTAAGTTTTCAATTAGTCTTAAGGAACGTTTTACAAATCAACGTGAAATTCTTTCATCCATGAACTGCATTCCTAAATTTTTTAATTTTTTTTTTTAATTCGCTTAGTGGGGGCTGGAGTCCAACTGGGTCCACTCGGCACAGCGGCCACTGATTGGCCTATTGTAGCCTGCCCCGGGTGATTATGATGATGGAGAATTTGGTGGAATGAACCGAAGTACTCGGAGAAAAACTATCCCAGCTCCACTTTGTCCACCACAAATGCTACTTGACCAGACCCGGGTTTGAACCCGGGCCGCCGCCGTGGGAAGCCAGCGAATAACCGCTTGAGCTATGGCGCAGCCCAACTTCATACTTAAGCAAAGATATCTTCTTCGTTCCTGTCTCCATTTTTCCTCTCCTTTCTTTTTCTCTTATCTTTCCTTCTCTTTGTCTTCTTCATTTCTTGTCATCTTCTTTGATTTCTTCCTTGCCTTCCATTTCTTTCCTTTTTCCACTTTATTTCCCTTTTAATCCTTTCGTTCCCTCTATCCCTTTTCCGATCCACTGTTTCCATTCTCCACGTTATATTTTTCCTTGCCTTTTTCTTTCATTCATATTTGCTTTTTCTTGAGTTCTTTTTGTTCTTTCTTTTTTCATATGTACTTGTTCCCTTTTTTATTTTTCTATTTGTGCTTTCCTTTTTATGTGTCTTCTTTGTTTCCATGTTATAGAAACATGAGAAACCTCGGCCCTCATGTCCGGACGACTGGCAGTCACAGCTACACCTGAACGGTACCGTTGATATGAAGCAGACCGCGTCGGTGTGAGGAATAGCCCCAGTTTGCGAGACAGGCGAGAGCGCTGGGTGCTTACTGGTGTGGAAACATCATAAACAACACCATAATCACCATGATGATGCACCGCTCGGCACCACATAGATTATGTCATCAATCATACAGTAAGTGTCGCTTAAGTCTCGAATATGACGAAAAGCTTCTGGAGCTGGATCTTCCTTGGGAGAGACGTAATGTTCCCTTCCACGAACATATAGTGAGGTAAAGTTGTCCTTCTGCTTATGAAGGCGTATGGGGAAGTGGATGTATAGATACACATTTTCTCCACCTCGGCACTAGCTGGAAGTGAGTGGTCAGCTTCACGCCCCGGCAGCTTTAACCCCGGGGAAAGTGCCTGGGACTGAGTAAGTTGAGGGTTGACTGTTGCCAGGAATTCTGCGCGAGCGGCTGTGTCACGAGAACCTGAGTGCGGGAAGCTGAAGAATCTCTACCGTTAGAAGCCGCTGCTATTGGAGACCCAGCAGGGTGGGAAAAGGCTTAGAGGGTACTGTGGAGATTTGTGCATTGTGGAGATTAGCGATAGCGCTGTAGTTATTTTTATTTCCGAGTCGTATGTCTAAGTAGTCAATAAATCCAGCAAATCCAGCAGCAGCAGCAGCAGTAGTAGTAGTAATAGGAGTTAGAACACAAACTAATCTTTGACAGTACCTGAAATTGGTGACGGAATCTCCGTTCTAAAATCCAGTGAGAGAGGAAACCGAAAACATTATGATATGCAATCAGTTTTATTCGATGTAGCCGCTACCTCAGTTCTTTATTTATAGCATCATTATACAAGACACTGACATAAATTATATAAAAGAGATTTCGAACATTAAAAATATTTCTGCTCATCTAAATTCACAATGTCGTTTTCTTGTTATTAATTAAATAAACTCTCGTGTTCTTGTCGAATATACAAGTAGTTGCTTCAAGTCTGTCAACGAGTTATGTCCAAGTCTACAGACAATACTGTCCCGCTTCTCAGCATAACAAAACGTAGCCCAGTGGAAGACTGTTCTGTTTATGTGGTGATAGAGCATAGATGACAACCAGTGGTCACCAGATTGTGTCTTGTAGGCTACTTGAATTATTCATGCTCACGTGCAGAGATGCTCGCTAATTTAAAATGAATCTACTAGCCTGCCTAATACTATCATGTAGTTTGAAATATAAATATTAGAGAACTAGAAATATGGAAATATTACACGAATTCGCGAACTAGTCCTCGAAATGTCGCCCTCTTAGCAGTGAGGTTAATATTATGCAAATTATTGGAAGAAAATATAAAGATTTTATGGTTGAGTTGGACGAAAGAATGGGAATATCTGCAAAAATGTGGACGAAAAGGACTCTAAATTTGAGTACGTTCATGAAAGGAAAATCGTTAACTATGTAACTATACGAGCACAACGAGTGACTTTTGCACTTTCAGGTGTAGATATGGCAATAACCACAACAAGATCCAATACTCCAGATGAGAGACTTACCTGAACAAGCAAAATCTTCACATAAAAGAACTCCGTGGCCTGTAGTCCGCAAGCGAACTATACCGAACGAGCAATCGCCGTTTGTCGGTGAAAGTAGCGCCAGGTTTTGCGGATAGAGGGTGTCACGTGGTCAGCGTAACGGATCCTCACGGCCGCTAATCTCGTTTTTCTTGACCGGAACCGCTATTTCCTTGAAATAGATCCTCAGTTATCCTCACGAGGCTGAGTGGACCCAGTTTCTGACCTACTACTTCTCATAAAATCTTGTAGCATCAGGAATCGAACCCGGGACCGCTGGATTTGTGGCCAGGAACTTTGACAACTAGACCACAGAGGTGGTCCAAAAAATCTTCACATAAGTTTTGAATATAGAATGGCAGAGACACGGTCTAAATGCAAAGTCTATGCACGTACTAATGAAATATGTTGTATTCCCAGTGGAAAGGCCTCTTAGAGAACATATCTCGATGGGCATCCACTGCGCCGTATATTTACACTCCCTGAAAAAGCAAGGGATAAGAGAACAACCGAATGGAGGAGTAACCTGTCACTTTAAACCCAAATTTCAGGTAGCACACGTAATTTTAGAAGAGAGAAACGTGATGGCAATATATATAGACACAGTTAACTTTATAGGATTATATTTAACATTACAATTTGATGGGAATCAATGGCAGCAGTGACAGCAGACCTGTCGCCAAGATAAGCTAAACCAAAGGCCCAACAGAACGATCAAATCCCTTCGAACAAATTTGAATAAAATCAACTTAAACATATGGTTTTGGGAAAACGCAAAACGAGTAACAGGTCAAAGGCCAGTTTTCGCACTTAGAAATCTCAGCGGAAATTTAAGATACAAATTAATTATTCATGCTACCAACGTAACGGAGGAAAGAATCTCAAGTTCGTTCGTCATGAGGAAGAAAGCACTCATAATCGGTGGATTACTGATTGGAAATTATAGACGTTGCACGGTGTACTACGATAAATATTTTTTCGACTGAAAAAAATATCACAACTTGTTGCACATATTCAAACAACTCCCTCTCTTGCTTGAGTGTTGAAAAACAAGAAACAAATGAATTGGAATTATTGGCCAATACATTGGGAAGAAACCGGTTATATAATCGATTTTAATGTAGAAATTGCTTTCAGTTTTTTTTTTTGCCAAAAGATACAGTTTATCTTGCTTCGCCATTTTTCAAAAGCATTTGCTTCTGGAAAATAATAATTAAATATTAATTAATTATGTGTTCATAAATGGTGCTCAGCGTATGAACCCTCAACTTCATTATTACATCACGTGACTTGAGCCTCATATTTCCACACACATTTGTATTAGATGCCACAAAAGAATCTCAGCGCCTTGTTTCTGACTTGATCCATTCCTCATAGTCTCACTTCATGTGGATATGATTTCGATTAGACAGTATGGGAGAAACATCAGATCAGCACTGTTTATCTATAATGTAGAAATCCGGAAGGCGAGTTGAGTTGGAGGAGGTTGATTGAACTCGAGGACATCCAAAAAAAAGAGGGACATAAATGGGTGGGGATAAGTTAACTGCTTTTTTTTATGAAGTTTAAGAGTATGCTATAGATTTGTGACCTCGGCCCAATCGAAATAAAATGTGAGGTTCTGGGTTCGGTTTCCGGCAAGAACATGCATGTTTTGCAAATATAATGAGTTGCTTTGTAACATTTTCTGAAGTCATTGATCCTTCCAAAGAATTCTTTTTGTTTCAGTTCTTGAAAAAAAGTGGTTAATCAATATGTCAATTAAAGAGAGACATTCCGGAAAATCAGGTTCTGTGATTCCGGTAGAATCCCTGAAAGCGCGAATGCCTTGGTTCAGCAAAACAATTTGATTTATTACATTACATTGTAACATTCTGATGCACATCACTTAGTATCAAATGAAAAAAATTTAAAAAGTTAAAAATTTATATGATGTGAAAACCTTTAAAGTGAGTAACTTGTAATAAGTTTTATAGAAACACGTATAACACTTGAGACGCTGGAACCACTAACGTTTAATTTGTTTTCTGTTTGGACATATATTTTATGGATCTAGTACAGTACTACAGTATTTATTCCGACTAAATGACTAATTATTTTAAATTCGCATAGTGGGGGGTGGAGTCCAGTTGGGTCCACTCGGTACGGCGGCCACTGATTGGCCTATTGTACCTGCTCCGGGAGATTATGTTGATGGAGAATTTGGTGGAATGAAGATTGCTAGGGGAAACCGAAGTACTCGGAGAAAACCTACCCCAGCGCTAATTTGTCCACCATAAATCCTACTTGACCAGACCCGGGTTTGAACCCGGGCCAACGCGGTGGGCAGCCAACGACTAACCGCTTGAACTATGGCGCGGCCTGACTAAATGACGAACTAAATAATTTAACTCATTGCATGGCACGAGTGATAGTTATTTATATAATCCATAAAATCTTTATTTTCATGGAATCAAACAATGATCTATGTGTTCAGAAAAGCAGGAAGCTATCTACACTCATGTGACTACAGTTTACATATCTAACACTAAATTTTCCAATTGGGTTTTTTTCTTAATCTTTTCCAAATAAACTTTGCATTTCTAAAATTTCTCGCACACGCTATATGTATCACCAATCTAACTCTAACACTATTAAGTTATCACGATCAAGACTTTCCTCTTTCTCTTCCGGTTTTTTTTTTGCTTCTCCCTCTTATCCCGATATTTTTCTCGGCATTTCTTTTCAGATACCATCAATTTATAATGTTTTCAAATATGAATTGTAAGTCCCATATTAATATTTAACACATAAGCCTACAATTAATACTATAAGAATACTGCGTGGTTTTAGCCCGCAAGCGAACTATACCGATCGAGCGACCGCCGCTTTTCGGCGAAGTTAGTGCCAAATTTAGCGGATAGAGGGTGTCGCGTGGTCAGCGCAACGAATAACCACGGCCGTCAATTTCGGCTTTCTAGACCGGAGCCGCTATTTCCTTGTAGTAGCCCCTCAGTTACACAATTATACAATTAATACTGTATATATTTTAAACTATAGTTAGTATATACTTCGCAGTGAGATTAAGGATTCTAAACTCGGTGTTATTTTACGATATTATTTAATGTATTTATTAGCATACAAATTATTTCCCCTTATTATTATAAATATCTATCAATAATAACCATATTTTAATTTAATTCAGAAGTAATTTTGTTGTTTTCTGTGTGCCAGAATATAAGGTCCGTTTAACAAAAAAAAAATGTTCAGGAATTACTGAAACCTTTTGAACAATTCTACCATATCCAGTTTGAAACGTAAGTTCCAAAGCAGAAATTCACTCGTACTGTGTTAAATTATAGTTAAACTGCAGAATCTACATTTTAAGAAGAAAAAAATCCGGACTGGTAATACATATATACAGAATATAGCTCAACGATAAAAAAAAAATTCTTCCCAGGCAACAGTAACTCCTTCTTCAGCCATAAAACATAGACGAGACTATTAAAATAGCAATAAAGAAGACAATAATGTACACATGTATTAGAGATTATTATTCCGAGAGATGTCATGGCATAATAACCCTCGAATATTTACATATATTCTTGAAGACCATGG